CATGGTAAACACGGGCAAACTGCGTGGCAGAGAGCAGCTCCAGGATGCAACGAAGCAATAGACTATCAGGAGATTGGGACGGACGGAAGAGCAAGGGGGAGTTGGGGGAGGGAAAATAGGGAGAGAGGAGAGTGGAGAGGGGAAGAGATAGCGAGAGAGAGAGAGAGAGAGGAGAGAGATGAGGGAGAGAGGAGGAGAGAGAGAGAGAGAGAGAGAGAGAGAGAGAGAGGAGAGAGAGAGAGAGAGGAGAGGAGGAGAGAGAGAGAGAGAGAGAGAGAGAGAGGGAGGAGAGAGAGGAGAGGGAGAGAGAGAGAGAGAGAGAGAGAGAGAGGGGGGGGGGGAGCAGGCGAAAGACTGAACGAAAAGAAAGACAAAATGGAGGGGGTGCGGTAAGAGGAAAGAAGGGAACAATGGGAGGAACAAATAGTTGGTTAAAGAGAGTGGAAAAGGCGTTTCAACATCTAGTAAATAAGATAATTAAGAATAGAAGTCCGAGAGCGTAATGGTAGCAGAAGCAATGTGTGTATGTATTCCATCGAGGCTTTATAATGCGTGCTTCTTGCCTACCAGCCAGGCAGGAAGTGGAAAATCGCGGGGAATCGAACCCTCAACACCTCTGGTTTACAGACGCGCAGCTTAACGACTACATTATCGGTGCCGCAGCAGGACAGAGCGAAAAAGTAAGGGGTTGCACGAAGAGTGAGAACAATAAGAAATGACATATGAATATTTGTTGCAATATTTGTATTTCAATGACAAAACAAAATTATCAAAAAAAAAACTCTCCAGGCAGGTGCAGCTAATGCCATGAAGCTACTCTGTCAGATTCTTACCATACGTCAAAAACTGTTTTGGCTCTTCTCACACGCGACTGCCCAGCATACAATTCAGAGCGTATGACTTCATATCCACCGGCTCACCAAAGAACATCCGGAAATATCCACAGAAAACTAGCTTATATGTACTGGATCTGGCACGCAAATACGCCTTATGTCCCCAACTCACGTCCAAGGTTTACCACATTTATGAGCTCGGAAGCGCCTCTGTAGCCCTCTTAAGCAAGCCGCGCCCCGTTGTGCCCGCAGCAAAGCATCAAGGTCCTCCGGAAAGCCGCAGCATTACATAAGTAAGTCGAAACCCAGAGATAGTTCTGGCGCTGATCATGTCAGCAGAACAATGTCCGGAACGGTGTCGGCGTACCAACGAGATGAAATAATGCATCTGGTAGACGGCCAGCCGGGCTGATAACCCTCTGCGGGTTGTCAAGAGGATCATGCCTGGGAACTGCTGTTTCTAAATAATCTCGTCACGCTCATTTGTGCGTCGTTGGTATGAATGCATTTTTGCGATCAACTCACTTTGTTCGCGATACGGACCATAGACCAGCTTGCTTGCGCCAGCTTCTACAGAATGCTACCGTGCAAGAGAGCCTCAGCACATTGCTCCGAATGACCAGCTCCCATCCAGACTGCCTGTTCTGATCGGCTTCCACCAGACCGGCCGCTCTGACCGGTTCCCCCAGACCGCCTGTTCTGGCCGGCTCCCATCAGACCGGCCGCTCTGGCCGGCTCCATCAGACGGCCGCTCTGAACCGGCTTCCCATCATACCGCCTGTTCTGACCGGCTCCCATCATACCGGCCTGTTCTGACCGGCTCCCATCAGACCGGCCGCTCTGACCGGCTCCCTCACCAGCGTCGTCTGGCGGAGGCCCTCCCTGCGCTGCCGAGACTCCGCCCCGCCTCGGCGGCGTCGGCTGGTCTCTGCTGGGCGGCGCCGCGCGACCACTAACGAAGAATCGATGGCGACCGGTGACAGACCGGCAGGATTAGCCAAGATAAATCAGCCTACGTGTCTGGACGTTATCTGGCGGCCGATGGGCGGACAAAGGAGCCGCTAATGTCGCCAATGCCTCGCTGTCAGACCGCGGCGGCTGCCACACGTTTTCCCCGCCTCGGTTTCGGGGAGGGTGGTGGCGAAACGCACGGCAGGGTCGGGGGTGTGGCTGGACCCGTCGGACATTCCGGCCGATGGGATCTGGGGACGGTAGCTTGCGGGTGGAACTGACTGGGGCTGGCCCCAGCGCTACCGGTTCGTCGCTAGGCTGGCAGCTGATTCAAGTCCAAAAGGTCAGCTCGGCCGCCATCCCTTTGTTATTGCTCGCAAACGATGAATGGACGTACAGATAATCAAGTTTTGTGGCCCGGTATAATCGCATGCACGTCCTTCAGGGTACGAATATATTCAAGGTAGCAACAGACAACACGAAAAACAAACACAGAGAAAGCAGCGTATTCAGCCAGCAAAAGCCAGAAGCAAACCGAGCAGCAAAACGAGCCGCAGCCGTATTCAGCGCAGGCGAAGCAAGCCGCAGCGTTATTTAGCCAGCGAAGCAAGCCGCAGCGCATTCAGCGCATCGAAGCAAGCGCTGCCAGTTGTCGTTCCTCAGGCACGGTGGGAATGTGTCCTATCCTGCCGGAGCCACTGTTGGTCCAGCTCGTCAGCCAGCGGCCGCACATCGCGTCCACAAGCCGCTCCAAAGCTCCGCAAAGATCGTCCGGTACCGTGCATCGCTGCTTGTCCATCTGGGTTTTCTACCCAAAATAGCCCACTGACGAGTTGTGTGGGGTCGTACGCAGCGTTGTGCGTCTGCAGCTGTGTAGAGAGCTCTGCTGCTTATTGGGATGGTTTGTGACCGAGGAGCGAAGCTGGATGATCACATGCCCATTCATTCATTCAGCGATAACGACGTCATACCCACGGGGACATATGTCAGGAACCCTACCCATGGTAGCCTTCCTCAGCGTAGTCGTACTGAATTGTGTGGATGTCTCCCCCTCCCTAACATTGAACGAAATCTGAACTGCACGCGAGC